ATGTTGTCTGGGGCCAGGGTATTTGGTGACAGTCATGTTGGCTTGAAGATTGGAGTTACTGTTGGTGTTGCTGTTGGTTTGAGTGAAGGGATTTTGATAATTCTGATTGTACCGGTGAAAGCATTCACATGCTTGGTGACCTGGCTTGCCACAGACTTGACAGGAGGGACGATAGGTGGGAGTGCGTCCTCCTGCTCCTCTTGAGAATCGTCCTCTAGTGTACCTTCCACCTCTGTTTGAAGGGAAGCTGCCTCTATTAAAATTAGAGGCGTTGTAAGGTTTGCGAAATTGCATTTGGGCCATATTGGCTTGTAGAGTCGTGGTTTCACGAACTCTGTGTCGCTCAATACGTTGTTCTTGAGCCATGAGGAGGGCCTCAATTTCTCCTACTGTGGAGGCATCGGTTCTTGAAGTGATGGAGATGACAAAATTGTCATAGTCTTCATTAAGGCCATCCAAGATAGCTTCAATGTGATCTTTAGTGCTTATAGGTGATCCAGTTGCTGCTAAAGAATCAATAACCTTTTTGATCTGAAGTAGGTATGTTGATGCTGGTCCTTCTTTTCTGTTGTTTTTCAATTGAGTTTTCAATTGTTTGACACGGGCTCTAGTGTGTGATGTAAAGAATTCTTCTAGTTTTGTCCAGATTTGAAAGGAAGTCTGGCAGCTCACCATTCTTGTGTAGACTGTTTCGGACATAGAAGATAGGAGCCAAGATAGTAGCAGTTGATCTTGTTGAATTTCAATGGATCTTGAGGTTTCTTGATCAACAGTAGTGTCTTTGTCTATTGGTTCCTTTTCTTTTTCTTTCTCTGAACTTGTTGATGAGCTTTCTTTTGCTGCAGGTTTCGTTGGAAGTTCCCCAACAATGAAGCGATCAAGATTGTAGCCTCTGATGGTGGCAAGAGCCTGTTGTTTCCAGGGCAAGAAATTGTCTTCATCGAGTTTGAATGAGACTGGGTTGGAGAAAGATTGAACAGAGGTTTGAGCGCGTGATTTGTCCATGGATCTTTTAGCTCTGTGATACCATGTGAGAAACAAATAGAGAGAATGAAAGATCTTGAAGAGAAATGTAACTGAATAATTCTTTTGTATATTGAAAATGTAATGTAACTTGTTACACTAGACTACTGATTCAAATATATATATGTTGACATTTGAGCTAATTCAATGGGCCTATTCTATCTAATGGGCCGTGGGCCTTATATGGCTATTAAAAATGAAGCTCATAATTTGACTTATTAATTATATCAAACGATAACGATATTAATCAAATACATTATTTACACACTTTAAAATATTGACCATTTATACACAATTATGAACTAATAGATAATTAGAAGAAAAGTAAACATGAGAGAACAAAAATAGAGCAATGAATTTTTAATGCATTTTAATATCTCTCAAGTTTTGTATATGATCAACTGAATAAATGATCAAAATTATTTCTTTTCAAAAATTATAACTTGGGATTAAATCTTTTGAATTATGCATATCCGAACACTTATAATATATATCCGTGTTTAAATTTAATAATATATTTAATAATTATTTAATTTCTAACAGTATATTTATTCTTTTTTGTGCACTTCATGATTAAAGCTGTGTAGACTAAAATAATATGTAATGGTGTGTCAGGAAAAAAAATATATAAAATAAGTATTTTTCATAATATAATAATTTCAAAAATCATATAATCAATAAAAAATAAATTAGTGAAAGATTTTTTTTTCACAAAATTAATGGATAATTTCCTTTTTGTTCTATTAGGCTTATTGTGGGACAGTGACCAAAATGCCACGCTTTGGCAAAAAAATTACCAGAATGCCACGCGAATTGTAAAATTTCCCTAACTGCCACGCGGCATAATTCGCTACACAGTGTAGCGAATTATGTATGCAAGTAATTCGCTACACAGTATAGCGAAATATGCCACGTCAGAATGCACAGAACCAAAAAGTGTCATGTGTCAGACTGTTGAAATTCGCTACATAGAGTAGCGAATTTCAATAATTTTGACACATGACACTTTTTGGTTCTGACGTGGCATATTTCGCTACACTGTGTAGCGAATTATGCCGCGTGGCAGTTTGGAAAATTTTACTGTTCGCGTGGCATTCTGTTAATTTTTTTGCCAAAACGTGACAAAATGGTCACTGTCCCGCTTATTGTGGCTGTGGTTTGGTTAAATAAATAAAGGGAAATCAAATTCTCTTGTAGCAAACGCAAATTCTCTCATGCTCTCATCATAAAAAGCAGTGCATCCCATTTTTGGTTTTCTTTTATTCTTATATTAGATGGGCTCCATCGATTCTTCTATGTGCAGGAGAAAAATGGTCTCATGGTCTTTTCCTATAACAGAGAGCCATGAACCCCATAAATAAATGACACACATGGCAAAAGACAACAAAACCCCACAAAGGTTTTCTCCCCCGATCCCGTGTCTCCAGTTAAGTGGACATACTTTCAAGTTTCAATGGAATTGTGAATTTTCTTGTCAAAATTACAGGTAAAAGAAAATGTATTATTGAGGTGCTGCTTACACCAGGAAAGTTCTATTTTCTATAACAACGAATATATCTACAAGTTTTCATCAGCTAGAATGGCCCAAAATCTAAGAGGGGATTTAATGTCCCACAACAGAGACACAGACTATTAAGGAGGGCTAACCCTACATGTCCATGGTGGACCACAAGCATATCCACTCTTAAAACTTATGAGATTGATTATGGTTAGAGAAAGTACATTGAGACAGGGTTGATGCAAATGTAACATTGTGTCAACAATTGGATATAAGTTTACAGATCCTGGAGAGTACGGTCCAATATGCTCGTAGTTGAGTGGCAACAAAATCCACCAATATCTCCACAAGCATAAGCCCAAGCTTGTAGTTATAAAACGGGTAATATTATCGATCTCAGACCTAAAGACACTAAACCAGAGGTTGGGCCTTAAACTGAATACGAGCTATGGCTCTATAGTCCGAATGGACTGAGCAGAGAGTTGATGGTGGATCCATCTATCGTAGCAATTTGCTGTGTAGGCCTTTTAAAAAAAAAAAAGTGTGGATAAAATGAAGTCTATAATGTCGTGCGGCAGCCTGTCAAGTCTATAATGCCTCACAGACTTTTCACTTCTTCTGGAATATGTAAAAGCTACACAAAAAACTCATGAGAAACACTGTCAAATCAAGTAAAGGGTCACCAACCCTCTTGGTTGGACCCACTCACACACTTAGGATCAGTCACACACAGTCTCTAATCAATAAACTGTTTAGTTTTTCAAACGAAAATATATTTTCAACAATATACTGCCCTATCACAAATTTACAACACCAAATATAAACAAGCTCTATCAAATATGATGAATGCAAGAATACAAATTATCATAAGTGAATTTCAAATAAACCCCAAATCCTTTATAAAAGACAAAGTACCTGTACAGATCATAGACGGGGCACTAATGCTTGATGTTTCTTGCTTTTCTGCTTAATATTTTTTTTCTTGTCAAGAAAAGATGTGTAACCCCGCAAGATGATTCAAATACATTATACTTCAAGAAATTGAAGTTCAAGAAAAGAGGATTCGAAGAGCATGGGTTCAAGGTGATTGCTAAGCATAATTTTTTTTATTTTGGAACCGAAATCTTGCACTGTTTAAGAAATTGAAGAATCAAAAAATGGAGTGAATTTCCTATCTTTTTGAAGAAGTAATTGATAGAGGAAAAAAATAAATTTCTTTTTGAAAAGTACAAATTACTTTATGGAAGAAGTGACACATACATTTATAAAGCAACTATATGGTTGTAATAAGTTGAAAGCACGTTCTCTAAAAAAAGAAAAAGAAAAAAGAAAGAGTTGTAGGCACATTCATGTCAAAGTATTGCATCTTTTTTGTTTGTTTTTTTGTAACAAATTGATCATCAATCATATGTTGATTAAGTGATGGTCATATGATATCTCCTAGATTTATCCACATTCATGTTAGGGTTTGGTTCCCCATTCATCTTGAAGTGACATTTCATGATTGCTTTGTTTGGTAGATAGATTAAAATTTTTTAGCCATGTTTCTCTTTTTCCTATCCTTTAACAAACATGTGCAAAACTAAAAGCAAATCATGGTAGAACTTTACCACTTAGGATGTGGTATTCTTAGAAAACTAGCTAAAATGCAAAAAGGTGAATGAAGAGTGTTATCATATTACTCTCTTTTAAGTACATGTCTACATCTCTGAAATATCAAGGGTTATTTTCGGTATTTCAACACATTTACCCATCATTATTTCACCTTCAACCAAACAAAAACTTACAAAATTTAACCCAAATTTTCTGGTAAAATTTTGACTAATTAAACAACTTTTTTTTTAACTTTCCTACCAAACTCACTTTTCAACCATATTACTGGTAATTGTATTTATCTGATAAAAAAAAATATCTCCTCTACCAAATACCTCCTTAGCTCTTAAGGAGAATTATTTTAATGTAAGGTTCATGCAATGCATTGGAGCTTTGGATGATAATTTCGTGTATAAAAGTATGTACAAATTTTATAACCTATTTGACTATGCTTCCGATGCTTGTAGCATGCTACAATTTGAGACTCATCAAAAGATTTATTCCAAGATGCTTAGGAGGTTTATTTAACTATGCTTTCAATGCTTGTAGCATGCTTCAATACTTCTTGCAAACCCTTTTACATATAAAAATATGTATTCCAAGATATATTCCATGATGCTTACGAGGAGGTCTTTAGAGTTGACTGTGGATCCATCTCTTGTAGCAATGTGCTGTGTCACTGTAAACCTTGCAGTAGCATATTAAAAAAAAAAAAAAAGTGCCTATAAAATGAAGTCTATAATGTCGTGCGGCAGCATGTCAAGTCTATAACGCCTCACAGACTTTTCACTTCTACCTGGAATATGTAACAGCCACTCAAAAATAATTACAATTTTAAAGAAAATTAAATAGATTTAAGAATCAATACCATAGAAAGAGAGATACCATGGATTCAGAGGGCGAGATTGTTTGTGTCACAGGAGCTGGCGGTTTCATCGGGTCGTGGCTTGTCATGAGACTCTTGGAGCGCGGCTATACGGTTCGAGCAACCGTGCGCGACCCAGGTCCAACTTCAATTCTTATGATCATGTCTTAATTCAATTCATCTTTTTAGTAACAAAATATATACTAATTATATAAACATAACAAGCACTCATGCATGCACTGTGCAGCTAACATGAAGAAGGTGAAGCCTTTATTGGAATTGCCAGGTGCAAAGACGCATCTGTCTCTGTGGAAAGCTGACCTTGCTCAAGAGGGAAGCTTTGATGAAGCCATTAAAGGATGCACCGGAGTTTTCCATCTGGCCACTCCCATGGATTTTGAGTCCAAGGACCCTGAGGTATGTATACTGATCATTAACAAATATTTCTTGTAAGTGATGACGCGATCATCCTTATCCTTAATTATGTCTTTTCGTTTCCAATATTATGTTGTAATAATGTAACAAATAGAGTCTATCTCTTATTGTGTGTTTATATTATGGGTTTTATAAGAGTTATCTTGTAGGAAAAGAGATTGTGTAATGTTATAGAGATATAGAGATTCGTTTTGCGTGCCTTAATTTTTTATTTATTTTTTTGTTTTAAAAAGTGTGGGCCCAACAAAATGTTGTGAGCGTAGGAAAGTTTGTTGGGTTATGTTAAAGGATGAAACGAAAATCCTTATATTATCTATTGAATAAAATCCTTGGTCAACCATAAGGATAGCTCAATTGGCAACAGAGCTCGGTTTGCTTGATCAAGGGATTCAAACACTGTTTGAGAACTTCTCTCTTCGAACAGGAGATTAGTCTCGTTAATCCTTCGCCATCCTTGTAGTTGAGCCAAGTCAACCTTCCTCAAACTTGATTTATATTAATGTTATAACACCACCACCTTTTGGAATTTAATGAATGTTAGCTTCTCTTAAGTTCTGAGTGACTAACTCTTACATATGTTTTCTATACTCAAAAGAAAATTCATATTACATTTGCGAAATAACTACATTTACATACGCAGAGCATGCATTTCGTGAAAACTTGAAAGCCTAGCTACTTCTCTTGTGCTAATATTGTTTTGCTGATAAACATATTTCGGTCGAAACTGCAGAATGAGGTAATAAAGCCTGCGATAAATGGAATGCTAGACCTCATGAAAGCATGTTTGAAGGCGAAAACCGTACGAAGAGTGGTATTCACATCGTCTGCTGGAACTGTTTCCGTTACAGAGCACCAGAAGCCTGTCTTCGATGAGAATTGCTGGAGTGATGTTGAGTTCGGTCTGAGAGTAAAGATGACAGGCTGGGTTAGTACTACTCACTCATTCCCCTTCTTCCCCTTTACCATTGCCATCCTTTTTTTCTTGATACATTACTCTTATCAAATGAAAGTCATTTTTGTGAGTGTTCTTAAATCTCTCCCTCCCTGTCTCTCTCTCTTTCTCTGTTTTTGCATCCTTGTATACTTATTCTGAAGATTTTTTTTTATAATTCAACACTTATGCCACATACACAAACTTGCATATATTAACCAAGCTTAAAGGATTTCTACTGTCATCGGAAATAAAATTATTGCAAAAATTAAGGTGTTTTTGTAATTATAATATATTGCTGGGTTATATTAGTATTTATCATTATAATTTTTAATCTTATAATCCTAAAACGACATCGTTTTGAACTCATTGGAGATAACTTTCTATCCGGTGATTGAAAAAATACTTTTCCCAATTGCGAATAACTTTATTAAGTTAAGCAATTGATAGCTTTGTTTGTTTATATATAATTCCTTTCCTCTAATAATCTGGAGTAGATTATATGATTGCCACTGGGATATAAATCAGTGAAAGTAAAAAAAATGCACCTCGTTTAGTGATTGATCCATGGTTTAATTTTTTGTCAGCAAATTTTACGATGTCCGCTTTAGTCCCTAGCAAATAAAAAAGTTCATTGTGGTTCCTAAGAAATTCAAAATGGACTCATTTTAGTCCTTTTGATGACTAATATGAGTCTTTTTAGAATTTGTGAGGGACCACAATTTTAACTAAATGAGTCCATTTTGAATTTCTTAGAGACCACGATGGACCTTTTTATTTGCTAGAGACTAAAACGGATATCGTGAAATTTGCTGAGGACCAAAAAATGTATTTACTCTTTTTTATATATTTACATTTAATATTTTATCATAAAACATGACTCTTAAGAGTTAAAATATTGCAGAACATCCCCAATATAATTATACTTTATTTACATTACTTTATTTGTATACGAGGGAGGTCACGAGCGAAAAGATATTGTAAGTATAACATTTTTCTTTGTATATTTATTATATATGTTTTTGTTGGAAATAATCAAGTATGAGTTGTAAAGAAGTACCACATAGACTAGACATAGACCAAGTGATGACCATATAAGTGCAAAAGACCCATAAACCTACAGCTTTAAGGTTTTGAGTTGAGATGTGGTGTCGGCCCACTTATTATGGTTTGTCATTTGGCCCATTGGTGGATGTACCATTTGCAAAGGTTTTTGGGCTCTCTCGTTCCATTCCCAACAGGGGTATCAGAGCCAACGATCTGGGCCAAGTGTTTGGAATGCCTTTGCAGAAGGCTAGTGTGACCCTAATATTTGAAAGAGAAAAAAAAAAAACACTTCCGCAGAAGTTGCCCTTAGGGTAAGAATGATATTGGGCCTCACACTTGAAAGAGGATGTTGGAAATAATCAAGTATGAGTTGTAAAGAAGTACCACATAGACTAGACAAAGACCAAGTGATGACCATATAAGTGCAAAAGACCCATAAACCTATAACCTTAAGGTTTTGGATTGAGATGTAGTGTCGGCCCACTTATTATGGTTATCACTTGGTCTATGTCTAGTCTATGTGGTACTTCTTTACAACTCATACTTGATTATTTCCAACAGTTTTATATAAATTTAATTCAAATGGTTCCATGATTCATTCACTTAGTAGTATTGTCAAGTCGATAATTGATCCAGGTTTAATGCTAATATAAATGGGTCCGTCGCTTCTCATGTGACTGCTGATGAGAAAAGTTGCAGCAAATTTTTAACACTAGGATACACGTGCGGATCCTAGGATACACGTGCGGATTCTAACAAAAGAAAAATCAGGATTCGGACGCGTATCCTGTGTTGCTGCAGGTTTTCCCTTCTGCAGTCACATAAGAAGTATTTTCCCATAGGCATAGAGCATTGTGACACCTCTTTTGTTATTTGAGAGGTGATGTTCCATTCTCATGTTCTATTTTCTCAAATTTTCACATGAGTTTTAAATCTCAATACAAATCCCATATGCTTTACCGAGAATCAATAATCCTACTATGTTATTTCCATTATGGTAGATGTATTTCGTTTCTAAGACACTGGCGGAGAAAGAAGCATGGAAATTTGCCAAAGAGAACAACATGGACTTCATCTCAATCATTCCAACGCTTGTGGTTGGCCCCTTTCTTACATCAATAATGCCACCTAGCCTAATCACCGCTCTTTCCCCCATCACCGGTAAATTATATATGTCTCAACTCTGTCAATGTTATTATTGCTGTAACGGTTGATTGGGGTACCCATTTATGAAAAAGATATGTATGTATTCATATCTCATAACAAATTCACAATTTTTTAACAAAACAAAATATTATATAATTTATAAATAAAACTTGTAATTTCTTATAAAATAGTATAAATGAATTTCAAATGGTTTACTAGTACTGTAATTATTATTGGCAGGTAACGAGGCCCATTATTCGATCATGAAGCAGGGCCACTTCGTTCATATAGATGACCTTTGTCTTGCCCACATATTCCTGTTCGAGCATCCAAAAGCGGGAGGGAGGTACATATGCTCCGCCTATGATGCCAATATACACGACATAGCAAAATTGCTCAAGGAAAAATACCCAGATTACAATGTCCCCACAAAGTAAGCCTTGTAAAGAATAAAGATATAGTTGCAAATTGGACATATCCCTGCATATATTTCAAAAAATACACAGCAGAAAACTATATGCCCCATCGTTATTTTTTTAACAACTCAAAATTTATTTGGGTTTAGTGTGCGACTTTAAAAGAATACAAGTTGTGTCATTTTAGTTTTTTATACTATGTACCACTACAAGTAGTATATAGTTATACAGGTAAGTTATACTTACAACTAGAGGTGTAAATGGACTGAGCTAGGTTAGGCTTTGGCTTAAATAGGTTAAGTTTGTGTATAAAAACATTGGGTATAGCCTGACCTATTAGCTTGTGTAGGCTCCAAATTACAAGTCTGGTCTGACTTATATTCAAAAATTAAAAGTCTTGACATGTTAGCCTGTTTAAGCTTATTAAACATTTAACAATTAAATGAATAACTAAAATAATATTATTTTATTATTCAAAATTAGTAAATAATAATTTTATTTATTATATTTTAAATAATAATATTATATAGGCCGGCCAATAGGCTTATAGGCCTGACATGTATAAAAACAGCCCATGCCTGTTTTTTGAATAGCTTTTTTTTAAAAATCTAGGCCTATTCTATTTTACTACTTATAATCAGTCAAGCCTGGCCTAATATAGGCTAAGTCGTAGGCCCTGTAGGCCGACCTAGTCCATTTACACCCCTACTTACAACCTTTTTTTTACAACCTCTTACAACCATATCTTAACACCGTTGATTTCCGCCAATCAACGGTTATCATTTATTGTGAATTAATAATTAATTAATGAGTTTAATTTGCAAAAATCATAATCGTTGGTTGGCGGAAATCAACGGTGTTAAGATATAGTTGTAAGAGGTTGTAAAAAAAAGGTTGTAAGTATAACCTTCCTCATAGTTATAATATGAAAAGTTATTTTTTTTTATTTTTTTTTCACATCAGCTGAAGTGACTGAGGAGATGAAAAAAAAATAATTTTTCATATTATAATTATATACTATGTGTAGTAGATAATGTTAAAAATTAAAAGGATAAATGATTTTTCCAATTTATATATATGCCAATACATAATTATTGTTTACAGAGGATAAACATATACTTTACTTGGTTGACTTAACATACAGAAAATAATATGTATATAAAATTATAAATGCTGGGCTAATGCCTAATGCCAATTGTAAGGATTGAATTTTCAGGTTCGAAAATATTCCGGATCAATTGGAGGTTGTTCGCTTTTCTTCCAAAAAGATCACAGACATGGGGTTTCAGTTTAAATACAGCTTAGAGAATATGTTCACAGGAGCCGTTGACGCATGCAGAGAAAAAGGGCTTATTCCTATCCAAAATGGCTAAACTTGCACATACTCCAGGTAATGGCACCACCGAGAAGTGGAAATACTTCACAGCTTTATATGCCAGTGATGGATTGTTCGTCGTTATTTACGCAAGCGTCTGTTTATCATTTAATGTTCGCGTTTTATTAATCTCAAGTTAAAGAGATAAGTTATTTTATGTTATAGAGATAAATTTATGAGTTCCACCATCTGAAAAAAGAAAAGAAAAAAAAGGTGGCACAGTTATCAAAGAGTGTATAGAAGAAAAAGTTATCATATGTAACATAAGAATAATTTTCCCCTTAGTGTTTTAGTACTTATAAATAAAAAGAACATAAAAAGAAAGTGTAACACAAAAAGTAGAGTTCAAATTGATATTGCTATTAGTGTTATTATTCATGTCATTACTAATTTATTTTATTATTAGATTGATTATGTTAATCGAAGATTATATTTATTTTTATCTCTATAGGTTATGATTCTTCATATTTAATGTGAAAGCATTAAATATGAGAAATTATAACTATACAAATGTAAAAATAATTATAAAGTATTAAATATAACTAGAAGAAAGAAGATTTTTAGAAAATTAAATCAGAATCGTTTGATCAACGTAATCGATGCGGTGAAATAAACTAGTAATACATTGATAGTAATAATAATTGATAGTAACATATCCAATTGTATTTGATTATTGTTGTGACACATGGCAACAAATATGTCCGTACTGATTTGTAAGTTTCGGGATATCGTATGATATGACACCTAAGTAGGGGGATTTTTTAAAATGATCCGGGCCTATTTTCTTACGGTGGTCCCTTTTTTTTTTTGGAAAAATGTGTTCCTTTTTTTGTTTCTCACTTCTTTAAAAATTCCCTCTCACTCCCTTTTCTTTTATATTTTTGGAATGGAACCCTGTGTGCCTGGTCCACTAAAACAAAGCTCCTAAGCAGGGCAAATTTAAAGAATTTTTTTTTTTTGCATAATTTTAACAAGCTTTACTTCTTAAAAATATGTAAATCAAATACAAATGTTCAGGATTTATTCATCTTAAGTCTAATCAATTTGACTTAATAAACCTAATAATTCAAATCTAACTAATTAAATTAGCTTTGTTTAATTTAGATAAGTGATTTACTTCGCTTAAAAATTGATCCAAATCAATTTTTACTGGTTCGGCTTAATATATGTTGAAGAATTAACTCTGTTAGATGCTTACCTAATATTTTAACTTGAATAATCAAGGTAAAAAACATTTTTTAATAATTTTTATTATTAAATTAACTAAAAGTTCTTTAATATGATTTTTTTTAGCTGCTTAATTTGACTGCTTTAGCGTGCTTACATTGTAATGGTTATATATATATATATATATATATATATATATATATATATATATATATATATATATATATATATATATATATGGCTTATTATTTCTCAAGCTGTTTGAGATAATTTTATCTCCAGCTACTAAATCATAACCATATAAATATTGATTACTGGCGATAAAGAAAGAGAGAGAAAAAGAAAAACATAATCATTCAAAAGTGAATCAATTAATATAAAGAAATAAATAAATAAAATGACGTAATTTTGGGATGACAGGAGATAAACTTATCTCAAGTTGCCAATGAAATATTTTTCTTAAAAAAATGAGAAATTTTATAAGATTGAATAAAAAAATTCAATAAATCATTGAAAAAGGGGTAAAAATTTCTCTCTTATCTGTGAATTCGAATTCTTTTTTGAACAATTGAAAAGGTTAAGTTTCAATTGTTCAAATTTGTTTCCATTATATATATATATATATATAAATGTTTTCGCATAGATTTAAAATAACATCATTTTATAATTTGAGAAAAAATATAACATATTTTAGTAAAATTTATGATACAAAATTTTAAAATACTTTATATATTTTTAAACTCAAAATAATATTATTTTAAAATTATAGTAGAATTATTTATTCTTTTATCACTTAGACTCTTATGTTTTCTTTCTTATTAATTATTCCTGTTATTTTTTTCATCTAAATTCATTTTTAATATTATTAATAATTGAGTTAACTTGCCCATTTTACAAAAATACTAGATTATCTACAAATTGTAGAACCGAGAAATAGAGAATAATCTCAGTGGCTGCTTAGAAGACGATAAGACGTAGAAGAAAGCAGCAAAGTAGAAAAATGGAAACTTTGTTCAATGATTTGCCTGCCTGCATCTCTTGCCTTCTCAATATAACGCTATTACTTCCCATCGCTATTACTTCCCATCAAGTGATAACTCATTGTCAGGGACACTGACAAAAATGTCACTGTTCATCAATTTTTTTATCTAAATGCCACGTTAATAATGTTATTTTCCAATCTGCCACGGAGGCAAGTTCACTACCCAGTGTAGCGAACTCGATTTGCTGACATGTTACGTTTCTAGTAGACATCAACTTGATTTTAACCAAGTTCGCCTACATGGTAGGCGACCTTCATTTTTTTTTTTTTTTTAAATTTGATACTTGTTATCCATTAAAAATATGACACGTCAGCAAACCGAGTTTGTTACACAGGGTAGCGAACTTGACCCGGTGGTATATTGGAAAATAACACTGTTCGCGTGACATTTAGATAAAAAAATTGATGAATAGTGACATTTTGATCAGTGTTCCTCATTGTCATCACTCAAAAGAAAGACAGACACATTTGGGTGAAACATGGAATTTGAAACCAAAAAAGTTGCATTAGAATTCATATTAAATTGATTAAGCTTCTCAACCCAACAAGCTCTTGCTAAATATTTTAACCAAGAGGATCACAAAGATGCCCACGATATTCCAATTAAAGAAATTTTTAGGTTGTTGTTATGATCCATGTCTAATATGCAAAAAAATCATATCTATCCAATCCTTGAACTGCTCAAATTTTCATATATATATATATATATATATATATATAGGGATTTGCATTTGTCATTTAACATGACACAATAAACTTTCATACACACACAACATTTTGTGGGGCCTACACTTTTTGAAGAAAAAAGAAAAAGAAAAAATTACGGCACACAAAACGAATCTCTACAACATTACACAATCACTGTTCCTACAACATAACTCTTATAAAATCCATATATATATATATATATATATATATATATATATAGGGTTCACTTTTCTACAGTTACTGCAGATAAGTTATCTGTAGTAAGCCTAATACGATGTTGTTTTGGGGCAGATATCATGGTGTTTTTGTAATTTTAATTTATTTCAGAGTTATAATATTTATATTTATAATTTTTTAAGATTTCAATATCAAAACAACTTTGTTTCGAGAATAAATGCAGATAACTAATCTGCAGTAACTGCAGAAACATTTTATATATATATATATATATATATATATATATATATATATATATATATGTATGTATGTATAAAGCTTGATCATGAGATTTGCATGCAATCGCGTCAACACCAATAGATGAAAAGGACAAATCAATGTGAAACTAGAGGTGGCAAAGCGGGCAGCCCGCCCCTGCCCGCCAAAAAGCGGGCTGGCCCGCCTCGCCATTGAAGGTGAGCTAGATATCTCTGCCCGCCCCGCCCCGTTTGGGCGGGCGGGGCGGGCTGCCCTCCAAGCCCGTCACATTTTACACTAAAAATAAAAATAAAAATAAATAAATCAGCCCGGGCGGGCTGGCGGGCTTGGCGGGCAGCGGGTTTAGAAAACTCAGCCCGCCCCGCCCCGTTAGGCGGGCGGGGCGGCCGGCCCGGCGGGCGCGGCCCATTTTTCCAGCTCTATGTGAAACATAACAGATAGCATTAATATCCTTAAAAAAAATCAAGGAACAACAAGGGAACAGTGAGGATTTTGTCACGGTTGGCAAAAAAATTTACCATACTTCCACGTTAATAGTAAATTTTGCCAACATGCCACGTGGCATATTTCGCTATACTGTGTAGCAAAATATGTGTGCAAATAATTCGCTACACAGTGTAGCGAAATATACCACGTCAGAACCAAAAATTCCACGTGTCAAAATTGGAGAAATTCGTTACACTATGACACTTTGGTCACTGTTCCAACAGCAAAGGTCAAATTGTGTGATTGATTTTCACTTGAATTCAAAGAATTAAAATTTTAAAAAGCAAGTAAAAAAAATTAACGAGTAAAGTACATTTTGGTTTCTTAAAAAAAATTACATGGCCTATTTTAATCCTTTAACAAAAAAGTCGATTTGTGGTCTTTCTGAAATTTAAAATAGATTAGTTAATCAAAATCATAGTCTCTTTGAAATTCAAAGAAGACCCACATTAGTCCCTCAAAAGATTTATCACGAATCTATTTTGAATTTTAGACGAACCACGAGTAGACTTTTTTTTTTTCAAGATATTAAATTGAGCTCTGTGATATTTGTTGAAGACCCAAAAAATACTTTACTCAAAATCAATTTATTAAGATCTACAAAATTCGAAAATATAAATAGAGAGATGGGATAAGTAAAAGAGTGTAAATAAGTAAAACAAGGGTAAAATGAGCAAATTAATTGGAAGACTAACAATATTAAATGTGGACTTGAATGGAAAAAAATCACAAAGTAATACTTGCTAAAAAAAGAAAAGAAAAAGCATTGGCTATAAGTGATAAACTCATAAAAGAATAAATTAGAGGAGATTTATGAATTCTTCCCTACTAATAACAACATGGATAAAAATATTAACTTTAATTTTTATTTTTATTTTTAAATACCATGGATCAATTGGATGAAGAGTTTTGCCGCATTTGTAATCTTGCCTAGCTGGATTGTATTTGTCGATTAACTGATAAAAATCTCCAAAAAGTAAGAGAGAAAAACTAAGAAATTTAAATTTTGCTGAAGATAAAATTAAAAATTAATACATTTATAGAAATAAAAAATTATATTTAAGATTAAATATAAATGCATGACCCGAAACACAAAAGATTAACCGAATGACCTACAATAAACAAAACAATTTAGATTATAAAGTAGTAGCATACTGATTCGTAATTTAACAAGAGGTAGGATCATTTGACATCGGTGTCAAATTTGAAGTTTGACACCTCATCTAAGAGTCGTTAGATAAAAAAAGATCAATGGTATCACCGGTGTCAAATTAATACATTGATCTTTTTTGATCTAACGACTCTCAGATGAGGTGTCAAACTTCAAATTTGACACGGTGTCAAACTTCAAATTTAAGACGGTGTCAAATGATCTACCTCATTTAACAATGTATTAACATGGTGAAAATAATAAAAATAATTGATTATGATAATAATTACAAGTGACATGAAGGGGTACATAAATCAGGGAAGAGAAAGAGAAGTTGGTATTACTATTGGCATTGTGCATTGTGTTGTTTGTGTTTGGTGAGTGAGGAGAAAGAAATGGCTGCGATTTCGTGTCACTGTAACTGTGCTGTTGGATTCGAGAAACCCTACCTCTCCCCTCACAGTCTCCGCCATTCCGCTTCTTTCCCTTCCATTTCTGTTTCTTCTCCACTCAGAGTTTCATCCCTCGCCACTTTCGCTGTTTCAGCCGAATCTTCTGTCACTCGTAAACCTACTATTCCTTTTTCACCTGCTTTTGATTTGCTCTATTTACTCGACAAGTTCGTTATCATCTTATTCTGTCAGATATATTTTAATTGCATCAAATTAGGGTTTTATAAATGCTACATGCATATACTACTCGTTTCTGATGTTTGCGATGAATGATGTTTATATTCTGTTAAGTCCTAAGGGGGCTTGAGTAATTTACAAGTTTTTTAGTTAAGGAGCATTCTTGATTTAAAATCTAAGATCATGATGGCGTTTTTTTTTTTTTCCTGTCTGCCACAGAAAAAGTTGGGCTGAAAGATTTTGTTCACATAGATGATTTCGATAAGGACACTATTTTGAAGATATTATATCGAGCCATTGAGGTCAAGGCAAAGCTAAAATCAGGGGATAGGAGATTTCGACCTTTTGAAGGGAAGACAATGGCTATGATATTTACAAAACCGTCCATGAGAACACGGGTTTCATTTGAGACTGGCTTTACATTGTTAGGTGGCCATGCTGTCTATTTAGGACCTGATGACATCCAAATGGGCAAGCGTGAGGAGACTCGTGATGTTGCTCGTGTTTTGTCTCGCTATAATGACATCATTATGGCTCGTGTTTTTGCTCATCAGGTATGCTGGTGACTGGTGAGTTAAGAGTTTCTTATGTTTCGTTTGGTTTTCGGACTGCAATTACTCGTGTTTGTGGTTAATTTTTGTTTTTCTAAATTCACATATTAAATTTTCAATACAACTTGCATTTGGGGATTGGGGGGGAGTATGGAAGCAATCAGCGTCTCTTAGGGATAGGGTGTGTGTTCACAATGTTCACAACAGTGATGAGGTCAACAAGCTCAATTCTAATCAAGTGTGTTACTCCCAAACACGTGGGAAAGAAAAGGTGAGGAGGAACTGTACTTGTAATCAGGTGCTATATGATGCATGGTTTATTGAGCAGTGTATGCTGTCTTTTGGGACAGTAATTTTCCAGTGATTTTAAGATGTCATTAATCCTCAAGGTCCTTTTTGATTTTGTTATGCTTGCATAAAATTGCAAAGGAAGCATGTGTAAAGCTTGTTTGAAAATACCTGCCGTTATTATTGCCATTGCTTGTGGATAAGAATGTCTTTTTTTGTGTGTGATAGAACACATAACTTAATACAACCTACCCAAACCCCTCACCACTAGACCAATCCTAGTGGCTTAAGAACGAATAAATGAATATGAAACTATGATATTTATATGGTGCTTTCTGAAGAATGATGTCTGGCTTTATTATTTGTGACCTGTACTGTTGGTTATGTATAAGAAGGGCCGGCTTGGCTCAGCGGTAAGCTTGCTTGCCGTGGTGTGTCAGGTCGCGGGTTCGAATCAGCCTCTCTGCAAAAAGCAGGGGAAAGACTGCCTAGAGTATTCCCTTCCCCAGACACTCACGAAGTGGGTATTTGAACTGGGTCGGCCCTTACTGTTGGTTATGTATAGTGTTTGATTACATCTAGTGCTAGCATGGGGCCTTGAGATGACTTAATATTATCGTACAGGAATGTTTTGATTATTAGTGGTCTCTCAGCTGTGAATCAGTTTTATTGTCTCTTACAATTTAAGTCGGCTTAGTATCACAATAAAAGTGCTTCTTTGCAATTGTGGACCTTGGTATCTCATTGGTTTGAGATGAATTTTTATCTGCTCCAGAGACGTGATTAATCTTTCTGTCGATAAAAAAGTGCTTTTGGTTTACCTTTTCTCATTGCAGGACATACTTGATCTTGCAAAGTATGCAACTGTACCAGTCATCAATGGATTGACAGACTACAACCATCCCGTCCAAATAATGGCTGATGCCCTAACTATGATTGAGCACATTGGTCGGGTGGAAGGTACCAAGGTAAGATTATGTTGCTTATCTTGAAGAGTTTGTTTCTTCCTAATTCTTAGTGGCATTGGTAAGGGAATAGTTATCTAACCATATTCTGCATTACACGTCAGGTTGTCTATGTTGGAGATGGGAATAATATTGTTCACTCATGGTTATTGATGGCATCTGTAATTCCTTTTCACTTCGTCTGTGCGTGTCCAAAAGGTTTTGAACCTGATGAGAAAACAGTTGAGAAGGCAAGGAAGGCTGGAATCAGCAAGATTGAGATAACTAATGATCCCAAAGAAGCTGTTAGAGGAGCTGATATTGTGTATTCAGATGTCTGGGCCAGCATGGGGCAAAAGGAAGAGGCTGCATTCCGCCGCCAAGTGTTTAAAGAATTTCAGGTACTTGATATTTCAGTTAGACAAAATGTTTTAGGGTAAATAAAATAGACATTTTTTATAAAATGTTAGGTTCTGACATTGTGTTCTTGTAGCCACCTAGGATTTAGCTCAAATGTTACAGGTGGTGTGGGGTTGGTGCAGAAATCATAGGTTCAGTTAAAAAAAATGTGCTCTTCTGGCATAAGGATTATGTTATGTTTGAATTTTGGTTAAAATGATTTAACTTTTGTATCCACATCCACTCCCTAGCAAAACAGGAAGTAGCATGCCAATGAGCTAGTAGCTCCATTGTCACTGGCCGAAGTCATTAAGACTTGGGTGTTCATATTGGAGGTTTGATCCTCTACCAGACCACCTTTCCTCCTCCCATAACGTGGTGCTTGTACCTCCAATTGTAACAGAAAAAGGAAGTAGCTTGTTGTGAATTGATGAATAATAAGATAATAATTGTGTAGTCAAAACACTTAGTTAGCAGGTCAGAGATATTATGGGGATAGACTCTGTTTAGGAGTCATAACTGTCGACTTGTAGTATTTACAAGAAATTGCAATTGCATTTTTCAGGTGAACCAAAGTCTTATGGATATGGCTGGTTCAAAGGCGTTTTTCATGCATTGCTTACCAGCGGAAAGAGGGGTGGAGGTGACTGACGAAGTTATTGAAGCTCCAAATTCTATAGTCTTCCCTCAAGCTGAGAACCGAATGCATGCACAGAATGCCATAATGCTCCATGTGCTTGGGAAGTAGTTGGTTGGATGATCAATCTGAGGTTGAGCAATAGTTATGTACACTTTCAATAGTTGGTTTCAGGCTTTCAGCCATGTTTGATCAATAAAGTTGGAATTTTGAGTTGCGTCTGTATTATTACTAGCCATTGAAGAACAGCAGAGTCTTAAAAAAGCTTCTGTCGCTTTGATTTGAGGCGTATGACGGGCATAAGTATCCATTTTTAAAGAAAGATAGATAAAAAGAATATATCTGGGGTATTTGACGTTATACTTAATATTTTAGGTATTCGATTTTTCCGTTATTTGGTATGAGTAAAATGTTTTTATAATTCATTCATAAGAGGTTATTTCTAATATATCATATTTGAATTTTCATATTATTCCGATTTGAAAAGAAAGGGGAGAAAAGGAATTTCTTTTCCTAGTTAATGGTAATTAAAAGCTTATAAATAAGAGGTCATTTATTTTAAGGGAACATGCCATATAATTTTTATTGTTTTAGCCACTTGAGTCAAGTTTATAAATAAGAGGTCATTTATTTTATATTAGCTTTAAATTTCGTTATTTTTCGCTTTTGGGCAACTTAAGGAAGAAAATAAAGAGTGAGTTCAGGATAGAGACCAATTGGAACAGAATTTTTATATAGCAGTACGATATTGACGTGGCAGCATAAATTGGCATGTGGGCGAAAATCGTTCGAGCTTCTCAGTTTTCAATTCACCCTCTTGCACAAAAATACCGAAGCAGAGCTCATATAAAATTAGGGTTTTGTATTTCTCATTCAACATGAGAATTCATGTTGTAGAGACAAAAAAACATGTGGGACCCGTATGTTAGAAAAAATTATATGTAGGACCCACGTTAATGCGAAAATCGAAGGGTGTGTAGGAAAATTCAAATTCTCATGTTAAATGAGAATTATAAAACCCATAAAATTATCATAACAACAGATGAAATGCATTTAAGCGAGCAGCCTCATCTCCGATACTTATAGGCGCTGGTCATCAGCTCAATCAACACTTCAAAAATGTAGTCAGACAATTTTAGTAAACAAGACTTGGGTGTTCTTAATATTAAACTAGGAATGACAGTTCATACTTGCCTCAAGCTCAAATCAAATCTTTCCGTGAAAAATATATAGTCTTCCATGCATTAATCAAACCAGCCATAAATTGTAATTATAGCTGTCATTTGAATTGACAGTAAGAGTTGAATAATAAACAGCAAATTGAAAAAGAAAAAAAGAAAGCGAAAAAAGAAAGAGTTGAAAAAAGGAAGAAGGAAACACGAAGAAATGGAGCAACATTTGCTACTATTCATTTGCATAATCATCAGGCGTGGGAAGACCCTTTATCTGCATCTGCTTGTACATCCATTGCAAATTCTCTAATGTCACCTCACCACCAAGAGAGCGGATAACAGATCCACCACTGCATGAGCCTACTTTGCAGCATTCTTCTAGTGACAAACCCTTGATCACTCCATACAAAAATCCACTTGCGAAAAGGTCCCCTGCTCCTGTAGCATCAGTTGCCTTTGATTCCCCTATGGCCGGGACGTGTATCATCTGACATGGAAAAAGCTTGGTTTATGATTAGTTATTAGTGACTAGTTAATCTTTTCAGCACAAATGCCAGAATGCTAGTTGACCCGAGCACCAAGTGACAAGAAAGTAAAACTACTGAACTTTGTCCCAATGATTTTGGACCACAATGTGCTAAAACTGCATTCATCATGTCAACAGCAAACAATTTCCTGCAAAATACTACTCCCATGCTCCTACCTTTGGTGAATCTTTGCTGATAGGGATGATGTATGTTGAAGAAGGTTCAATAAAACTATAAAAGATCAGACAGAATGCAGAATGCCTCTGGGTACACCCTTTTACCTTCCACCCTCTTTCCATGTAAAAAGTTTGATATATTTGCGTTGGTTGGATGGATGGATAGAATGCAAATTTTGAGCTTTTTATACTAACATTATGGCCAAAAAACATAAAAACAAGGAAAGCTTCACCAATCCGAAAAACATTCTTTTTATGTAGAAAGCCAATATCTTCACATCAAAATCCTACTACGAGGTGAAATACACTACACTGTGTCTAGTTAATTATTGTGTCTTCTGGTCAATTACCAAATGTTCACACCAGAGACAACTGCACACATCACCCCTCCCCCTTCCCTCCAAAAAGAAAAAAAAGAGAGTTGAGAAACAAATCACAAAGAATGACAGAAAAAAAATTAACACACCTCCTTCCCATGTTTAGCAATGCATCCATTAGGGCCCAATGTTACCACAGCCCATTGGCAGTATTTGGCAAGAAATTCTACTGCAGCTATCGGATCAGCTTTCTGTTCTCCCCTAAAATCCATGGAAAAGTAATCGATATCACTTATTAAAAGAAAAATAGAGTATTCATATTAAATGGAAATAAGACAGTCAATAACTTGGAAATTGAAAATAAATCTTTTTTTCAACAAAAGGTATCTTGATATAAGTATGGGTCCAATCCAAATGACAGTAACCTTAGGAGTTCAGCTGCCTCATCCTCATTGGCAAAGCAGAGGTCTATGTTCCCAGACTCCAGTAACTTCAGAAGTGGTAGTTTGGAATTCCTGACCATCTTGCCAAAATAAATAGACTGAGCGAGAAGTATAATATAAATGATTCAAAAGACTTTAACTTCTACATTTCTATTTATATTGGTATGCATGTTGCGCATTATCATACATTCATATTTGAGATTTCATAGAAAAGAATATGATTCCTCTATGTAGCAAACGGCAGCAAGAAATCAAGCAAGTTCAGTAATTATTAGTGTGAACCAACCTACGGATGATTATATTGATTTAGCAGCTCTTTATCAGAATTTACTTTTATCAAATTACCAAAAACAAAAAAACTATTTACTTTTATCAAGACAATCCTTGTTCAGTTTAAATGTTAGAAATGAAAACTCTACTTGCGAACTTCCCAAGCTCAAGTGGGAAAAACCTATTAAAATGGGTTTGAATTTTCCTTTCATCAAACCTTTGTACACAAATTATTTTTATAAAAAAGAAAAATGAACTTTTGTGGAGGGGGAATTCCGAGTAGTGGCATGAAATACCTCAAAACTGGCCAAATCCAAAGAAACAAGAAGGCCTTCCTGTTTGGCTAAACAAATGGCTGCTTGAATAACTTCCAAATTGAGTATTGCATATCTCAACACCAACCACTGAAATGTAAATATATCGGCAACTAAGTTCACAGAGAACCTTTAGATGATATATTATTAGTAGTGATAGACCTATTTGGACAGAAGAGCAAGTTTTCAGTATGTTTGCAGAGATCGAATATAAAGCAAATGCACCTTCATTTTCATTCTATGATGCATAATAAATTAAATCCATGTCATCATAATTAGAAAATTATTATTAGAATGAATAAAAATATTGAAGTATATAGAGCAGGTTAACAAACATAAATATGTCCACAATATTTTAATTGATCAAGAAGTTAACCTTGGAGCCCTTGAAATCCTCAATCTTCAATTCTTCTGCCTGCAAAACAAGAAAAAAAGAAAAGAAAAAAGAGTACATGTGAGTCAGACAAACAAAATTCACAAAAGCTAAAGTGACGATCCTTTATATCCTAACCTAACCACAAAGAATCCACAAAGGGTGTTTGAGACAATAGAGTCATGTACCTGAACTTTGACAGCATTTGAGAGACAGGGTCGCATTGTACGGTTACCCAAGGCATCAACCAAGCATACACACTGCTAGTCAGTTAAGTCATTAATATTTCACTTTTGTAATTTATCCAAGTCATTTGTTATATATGATCAAAAAAACTGAGATACTGAGGTGGTGACTGGTGAGAAACCTGTGCAGTGTGTCCTTTCTTCTTACGGAGTCTTGAGAGGTTGACAGCATTGAAGGTCATGTTATTGACAAATAGCTGGCCTTGCTCATCATCCCCATAAGCCCCAATAACTCCACTAGAAATTCCAAAACAACTACTTAGTCCTCTAATTGTATTAGCAACACTACCACCAGCCAAGGTCTTCATGGGAGAATGAGAATGACCATCATCGGAATTAGATTTAACCTCCCTCAGTATATATTCGAGTTCTTCAATTGCAACCTACAAAGAAATTGGGAATTGAATTAACCTATCATATTATATTAATATTAATTGAATAGAAGAGAAGAGAAGAGAAGAGAATAAAAAAAGCATAATAAGAATAGATTAAAATGAAGAGAATAAATACGGGAACGGAGCCACCGCGTTCGCCGGGAATACGATCGAGGAAGGAGGAATCAACGCGAGCGACGTTGTCGACGAGAGCAGATGGCTGGAGACCAAGAATAAAGGGAGCAATAGCATCGCCTTCCACCACAGTCATTTCGGCTCCCATTGCTTACCCCACACACACACACACACACTGAATCTCACAGATCTTCTCTACGCCGCTTCTTTTCTGAAGGCCCTAAACTTTTTGCTTTTCTCATTAGCCTCCATGCAAATGGAAACAACTTGGTTTTTTTTTTTTTTTTACTTTATTAAATCGATTTTATTAATTATATAGTGATATTGATATTTCTCTCTTATTTATTTTTATTTTTTACTTATTTATTTATTTTCTCTCATTCTTTTCTTGCTTTTTATTTGAATTTATTGGCAATCAACCAAAATTAGTTTGGAATGAGAGGTATGTTATACTTACAACTTTTTTTTTTTTTTTTTTACAACTATATCTTAACACTATTGATTTTCGTCAATCAACAATTATGATTTTCACAAATTAAACTCATTAATTAATTATTAATTCACAATAAATGATAATCGTTGATTGACGGAAATCAACGGTGTTAAAATACGGTTATAAAAAAAAAATTGTAAGTATAACTTTCATCATTTTATTATATTTAATTTTATTTTGTATCCAATTTTTAAATTATAATTATGTTTTTCTTATCTTATTTATTAACTATATATATATATATATATATATATATATATATATATATATATATTGGTATTTACGTAGACATCAAATCTATTATAGTTTGACTAAAAAGAAAAAATCAATTTTATTACGTTTATATAATTTTTTATTTTTGTAATTTTCAAATCCTATTCAATTACTCTTATCTTATTCATTTAATTATTATACTGTGATATTTTGATAGACATCAAATATATTTGAGATCGACTAGAAAATTAGGGATATTTTGTTTTATTTTGTTTAAATCTATTTTCTACAAGTTTAATTCTTTTATATTTTTCAATATATTTCATTTTTTTATATGTTTAAAACTAATCCAAACATTACCTTTTAACAAAATTAGGAAAAAATATAGTAAAAAACTCTTGTAACAACACGATGGGTGATGTCAAAGATGACTTCTCAAATACTATACATGCAACACAGTTGGTTTTGAAAAATGAAGGGAGATAATCACCTCTCCCGGCTCCCATCTTATTCCACCCCTGTAGTTCATCAATTACTCGAATATTAAAGGTGGCTCAAACTCAAAACGTCCAGTTAAATTTAACAAATTCCATATTATTTGATACTTTTAATATAATACTTTACAAGATTTCACGTTTATATTTAACTCTAAGCATCTTTAAACCCTTATGGACTGAAATTGATTTAAAAAAACCCTTCTAATTATACTCAAAGCAATCATTTGTAATTTTAAGATGAACTCTCCAAAGGGATCAATTTATTTATTTTAAATATTTTTCTCACAAAAAATTGCATAACCTACTTTTAATCTTTCTCTGAACTGCATTATTCGAACCTTTCACCGTCTACAGAGGATCTTTATCCTGATCGCAATTGTCAAATTGTCTAGAAACGAAATAGAATGGTAGACTGTAAAAACAAACAACCTAGAATCTTAAGTTAAAAAAGGAAGATGCATGTATCCACACTGAAGACACAAACACAGGCGTCAATGTCCTCATATTACTAATAGTTTCAACGAGAACTTATGAACCAAGTTGGGACGAAAAATATCTTGAACATAAAGAACAAGAAAAATACATGTGAAATCACTTGCATTGGATACCTCAAACACTATCAGCATACACGATCATCCTACAGGGAATTTGCCTTTCCCAAAGTAGAGAATCTGGAAAGTAGCCATAATTCTAGCCTAGAAAATGTCTGGTATTATTGGGAATGAAAATAATCCCTCTTCCATGAATTTGAAAAAAACAAGAATATCCCTTGAAGTCATTTCAGGATTGGAATCGAAGACACTGCTTTTAAATACCTCAAATTTTAGAAGCTTTTTCTGTTTTATCAGGTAAGACATTATCAGGAAGAATAAGCTCTGGTGGGATCTCACGAACAACACCCAGCATAGAGTCATACTCCTCATCTTTACGCGCAAACTTCTTTCGCAGCACCTTCTCAAACTCAATTTCATCATAGGACTTTGAATTTTCAGCTGCGTGGACCTGTGCAAGGTTAGTATAATTGATGGCTGACTGGGAGATGAAAGCTATCTCTTCATCAGTAAGCTTTCTCAGGAACTTTGCTGGATTGCCTGCCCAAACCTGCAAAATATGCAAGTTTGTGCTTACAGATCATGAATGATATACATTTGGTAAGCAATCAAGAAGAGCAGCCTGAGCAAAAACTAGAAACAAAATTAAGGAGTGCTGTCCATCCTATAATAAATATTAACGTGCGAAGACTATCATTTTTTAAAGAAAATATCATACACACATAAGAATGTGAATACTAGAAAATGAAGGGTGCACTTTGGAGATAAAGTGCATCATTAGAGGATCTAAATCCCACATAATACAGTTAATATCATCGGATACAACTAAAATAGCTTCGGTCTAGCACTTGGGAGAGCCATTCCCTAAATTCTAGTTCCAAGGGCATTTAAAGGCTTTCTATGTAATTGACAATAACATGGTGATTTTTGGATACATGTTATAGACTCAAAAACTTTATAAAAGGTTAAACTATATATATTCAAGATAAGAATTATATAAATAGTTTGGATTTTATGAAAAAACCCATAAGGAGGCATATAAACTCATGCAGTTCAAGGGGCACTGCTCAACCAAGAGGCATAGTAATAATCATGACAGAAGTAATAAGTAACAGTTAAGACAAGCGGTCTAGGATTCTGCATTAGGGCCTAGTCGAGAAAGGTGAGGGCTTAGAACCATAGTTATACCCTGCAGTAGAAATTAGGCTTATTGTTGTGCTTGTAGGTGCCATGGGGATAATACTGGTGACACAAAGAGATACCAAGACAGCAGCTTTGAGACAGAACAGGCGTGATCGAAGTTTTGAATAAAGAATAAGGGCTTTATGTTTCAGAAACCTCTTATATACCAAAATATCATAAGGAGGAGAAGGAAAAAAAAAAAGCACACACACACAATTAAAAAGTAACACACAAAAAAAAAAAAAAAAAACTCTTAAAGAATATTTCTACTGCTTATAATATTAAACGTCTTTAATGCCACAATAAAATTATCTAAAATCTATATAAATTTTTAAAAATATTCCATGAAAAATAAGATAAGAATATATAAAATATACACATTATTATAATCGACACCCTTGTCCTAGACTAGGGGTATAATATGATAATGATGATAATGATTCCTTAAAATGGTTAGACCAACATGAACATGAACCTAATTGTCATTAACTTAATGGGTAGCCAGACAACATACACCCACAGTCATACCTCTCCACATGGAATCCTTGTATCCTGTCTCACAAGGGCTCCAGCAGCAACCATGGCATTTTTCTCAACAATGACACCATCAAGTAGTGTTGCACCCATACCAACAAAAGCCTCATTCTCAATAGTACAACCATGTAAAACAGCACTATGACCTGTTCAGTAAAAGACTTGACATAAATTCCCATTTAAGGGTACAACGTAGCATCATTCTTGATCATGGCACAAATACTACTCACCTACAGTAACGTTATCCCCAATAGTCGTAGGCAACACCTTCCCACTTAAATTTGACTTTGCAACATGCACCATGGAGTTATCCTGTATATTAGTTCCACTTCCAACTCTGATGCTGTTGACATCACCTATTAAGAAAGTGATGTTCAAACATGACTAACATGTATATCATTATCAACAACACACAGGCTCAGCAAAAAGTTTCACATTCAATTTACGTTAGAAAAGAGAAATGCAACTTCCTATGAAAAATATGTTTTGAAATAGAAGAAAGCTGCTGTACTGGACAACTTTGTTGTCTTTGTTTGACAACTAGTGTAACCCAAATAGAGATAAAATATTACAACCATTCCATAAATACATCTCATTAGTTGCAGAAGCATCAAATCATTCAAATGTTGTCACATCTAATTGATCGAGTGAGATAGCTTACCTCTCAAGACACATCCATACCAAATTGATGATCCTCTTCCAACTTGAACGTCTCCAATGATGGAGGAACTTGGTGCAACAAACACATCCTTATCAACAACAGGAGCCTTATCAAATATGTTCATCAGAGTTCGATGCCTAGACACTAAACACAAGAAGGAAGAAGATTACTTGATATATTTCATGGCAGAATGGCAAAGCAGTAAATATAGCACATTAACTTTCTTTCTTCTGTTTAATTTTATTTATTTATTTATTTATTTATTTTTGCAAATTAAATTGTAAAGTATTCATAACACTAAAAAATGAGAACAAGGAGATGAATTATAGATAATAAAAAGTTGCAGCAAGATAATCAACAAACATCAATATCACCTTCATCCTAAACTAGTCAGGATTGACAGTCAGTGAACCCATATAAAAGCAAGAATAGATTAAGAAAAAATAAATAATAAATATATAAAATAAAAAAACAGAGAAAAAATATTACTCCTCTACAATATTCATAGTTTTCCTCCAATTCCGTCCTAAGACAAACAGTATGGCAATCTATTTTTCACTTCATTAAGTCTTGTTTTAATACTTTCTCCCAAGCAACATAATCCACAAAAAATGCAATAATTGCTAGTGACATACTATTTCATTTTTGAAATGCTTCAACCAAGACTATCTTTCAAAAGAGAACCCAAATCAATCTCTACCAAGAAGGAATCATATGCTTACTGCTTCACTGAATCTAAGCATTATGGTTGGCGACTAAACAATTTAGCGTGGAAAATAAATAACAGAACCCTCCCATGAGCATTCATCATGGACTGTAATGTGTTTAAATGATTTTCCCTAGGAGCTTCCAATGCAGTGTTAAACTATAGTACATCTCCAGAGTCTCAACAAGTTTTAAAACTTGTAATCGGTATAGATTTCCCAGAAATATCTTAATAGAAATCAATATCTCTATTTTTATTTTATTTTTCCAACCTCAATAAAGTTATTAATGTATATTAAAAAGTACAAGACGTATTTAGTCATTCAGTCAAGCTCTTTTTTAATCGATTTCCCATAATTGAGTGTTTTTTTTTGGTTCGCTAACAATCCTACTAAACTGCACTCGAAGTGACTATATGTCATTGTCTTTCCTGAAGATTATAAAATATACTAAGCATTTGCAAAGTCTGGGCCATTCAGAATGAAATTATATCATCAATCTAAGGTGTGATTTACACAAAATGAAAGCAAAAAAAAAAAAATCTAAAGGGAAAAGGAAAGAGACTAACGCTGCTCTTGGATGTAGTAGCCACCCTGAAGGCGTAAACCAAGGCGATCAATGGCTTGACCAGTCTCTCGAATCCAGAACCCAACGCTGTATATCGCTCTCCCCAGGGTTCCCATTTCCCCCAATCAAATGCTAAACACTAAACACTAAACAGTAAACACTAAGCCATATACAAGGTTGAATATGAATATCCCTTTTCACGGAGAGGGCAAATTGGGAATTCCAATTTAAATGTTTACCCAATCACTTTCAAGCAAACAAATGGGCCTGACCCGAGATTAACTGAACTGGGCAGGCCTGCTAGCCGCACAAAAACGGTGCGTTAAAATCTATTGAATTTATGTAAAGCAGGTTGTGCGGGTTTGAATTTATGTAGTATCTATGAAAGACGGACCTAATTGATTAGCATTTGTCCATAGCAGTAGCGCACCCTATTGTATCCTTATTATCCATGTCTGTTTTCTTAAAAAAAATTCTTGGAGTATTGAACTTTGATTTCCTTGATTGGAACAAAATTTCTGTTATGGTTTCTTTTGTAATCTTGTTCTATATAAACAATTTACACTATAACCTTCCGGGGGAGCCTAATTATTAATTGTTATCAAGAATCAGACTTGGCTTAAATCAAAGCTCTCATATCGACTATGAGTGTTGTTAGGAGTGAACACCAACTAAGGTATAAGGTAAGTGTTTGGGATATGCTAACGATGGATGTGATCTGGTGTAGATGACGGATAAGCCAAAACGAATGTATTTGCTCTGTATGAATGAATGTGTGAGTGTGATGTTATGATGTATCTAAAGTCCCCTCGTTTGGTATTGTACTATTATTCCTGTGTTTATATAGCCTTCCAGTATGGTAATTAAGGTGATCATGATTTGATGCATAGTTAGGAATGATCATGGGTTGGTGCGCTGTTAGGGATGATCGTGGATATTGCAGAGCGGCAAAGGATACTAGGTTTAAACCCACGATTCGGTCTCATCACCTATGATGCTAGTCGGATGTATAATTCGGAGAGGAGAATTTGGGCCTCAAAACGGGTTTAGCCTTTGGGCTTTATCCCATTGGACCTAACCGGGTATTAACCCGGAACATATATATTGTGGCGGAATATGGCACCTAGCCACCTATAATATAGCAAATAAAGAATGTCAAGTCAAAGGTTGCGAAAGTGTCTATTGAGGGGGTGGCCCGCTGGGAGATTGACAAGTCAATATGAGTGGTGTTTCTTTAATACATTTTTTGTGACGTCTAATCGATCAAAACATTTTATTTTTAAACTTCAAAAATTTTCTGTAATTTTTTTTTAGAATTACTTACTCCTTCTTTAAAATTTTGAATTATTTATATCTTTATTTAAAATTTCTTTATCACTTATTCCTTAACTTAATTTTATATCCAAAAATAAAGTTAACCAAGTTAATTTCAAAAAAATACCTTAACTACCCTTAAAATAAAACAACGGAACCCTTGATGTCCCGTGGCTACTACTCGAATTGCCTTGTCTTCATCTCTTGCACGGTAGCCTGTAGCCTTCTTCTTTATCACTATAGAGGAAGAAAGAGAATGCAAAATACAGCGCCACACAACTTCGAAATAGGAGGAGGAGAAAAATTTGTAAACGTTGTTGTGTTGGATTTTGTAAATCTGGATGCATATTTCTTTGTCTGAAACTTGTGATTCTGTGATTTCTGTTCTTTGTGTTTATGTTTTTTATGACTTTTTTGTCTTCTTTCTCTCCAAACACCAACTCTCGCACAACATAACCCACCCTTTATGATGAACTAGATCCTTTTCGTGTTCTTTTTCGTGGTCAACGCTTATTTTGGATTTTGAGTATTTTTGTGTGTGTGTATATGTTGAATCAATGATTATTTTTAAGTTAGAATTTTTCGAAGTTACTCTTGTTAGATTATTATTTTTTGGTATATTTTATTTGTGTCATTTTTTTTGTGATTTTTTCGTGGTGCTCTTTGATGGAGACAGTGATTTCTTCTTTGTTTTTTTTTTGTTTAAAGGGTAGTTTTGATATATATTTTTAAAATTTAACTCTATTAACTTTAGATTTTGATGAAAAATCTAAATTCGGATAAGTGATAAAAAAACTTTAAGTATGAGTATAAATAATTAAAATTTTCAAAAAAGAGATGTGATTCTGAGAAAATTTACACGGGGTGGGGGGCGGGGATTTTTGAACTTTTTCTTTTTTTTTCTTTTTAACTGTAAGATTGGTTTGTTTTAAGTTATACTATTGGTTTCAGTTCACTTTTAATTCGAGGTATTCCATCACAAAGGCTTTCCGTGTTGCCTTCCTGATGACGTTTATATTTGTGCTTGTTGCCCCCTCTGGCCATGCTTCTCTGCTATTGGGTTGTTCTCTTCATTCTCATAATGAAGCCTCAAATTATGCACATGATCGAGTACAAATACCTTCCATTCAGCGCTGGAAAAATATCTTTAGTATTTCATAATATATAAAATTCAGTACATCTTTATCAAATTAGAAAAAAATTAATATAATTGACTTTCCCATTTTACCCATTTATTTGTGGTTATTTTCCTATAAGTCTCATCTTTTTCTATTTTTAGTAAAGAAATACAGGCAAAAAAATTAATTTATTATTTTTTTAATAAAAAATTACGAATAAGTAGTCGTTTTGAAATTAATTACGAAAATATAACAGTTAAACACGCTCCATAAGGGCGTGACCGGTTGGAGAGAGACACGCCCAATGTTGGGCGTGACCGAGGAGAGAGACACGCCCAATGTTGGGCGTGTTTCACCAGGTGCTGCCACGTGGCACAAAAGCCAACAGTTTGACCGTGAAACTTTGGAAGTCCATAACTTTTGACTCGGGTATCCGAATTAGGTAATTTTTTTTTGAATCCACATAACTTTTCGATATCTACGTAATGACACCTCATTTGGCATATTTTGTCTCTCACAAAAAAAAATTGAATTTACATTAATGATACCATAAGAACGTTTAAACAAAAATTAATGGACAGAAAACCACTATTATGATTAGAAACATTCATAATAAAGATCCTTATGATTATGGTAAGTTATGATAAGGTTAATTATGTATGTTATTGAGATATATATTAAAATTTTGAATGAAGAATTTTATGAAATTTATAATTAATAAAAGTTAACATTTGTCGATGACAGAATATCGAATAATTTATATTAAAAAGTTAGGTGTCATTACGTAGATCTCGAAAAGTTATGTGGAATAAAAAAAAATTACCTAATTCGGATACCCGAGTCAAAAGTTATGGACTTCCAAAGTTTTACAGTCAAATTATTGACTTTTGTGACACGTGGCAGCACCTGGTGAAACACGCCCAACATTGGGCGTGTCTCTCTCCTCGGTCACGCCCAACATTGGGCGTGTCTCTCTCCAACTTGGTCACGCCCTATGTGGGCGTGAGTCACGCTTAGGTCACGCCCAACATTGGGCGTGTCTCTCTCCAACCGGTCACGCCCCTATGAGGCGTGTTTGACTGTTATATTTTCGTAATTAATTTCAAAACGACTACTTATTCGTAATTTTTTATTAAAAAAGCAATAAATTAATTTTTTTTTGCCAAGAAATACATACTTTCGTAGTGCCCAAATACACTCCAACAGATAAGAGCTTGGGAATTTCTTGGCAGCATTATTGGCCTTGATCTGTTATCTAGATTAAAATGTATCAATTACTTAATTTTTGGCAATTATTTATTCTCAATTACAAAATTTCTGTGTTCTCTAGTTCTCTAGTTAGGTAATGGGTAGAACAAGTCTATTTCCTTGTAAATGAAAATTTGATGATTATAAAAATATTGCAGCAAAATTTAGAAGTTGGAAAGTAAACAGCAATAAGAGGGGGTGGGGTCATAATGTATGGTCATAGCTCGGCATTGGTAGAATACTAGAATCAGCGCCAATTGCATGAAGCCACGGCAGATTCTGACTTAGAATAAAAAGCCAGCCAGATTCATGCCAATAACAACCATCCAACAACCGAGAAACCAAATCCCTTGTTTAGTTGTTAAAACTTGACTCTAGTTTATATAATAATCAAAAATCCATCAAATTGATTAGCAGTTTCTATTATTATTCATTTTATTCTATATTCTGATAGCAATTATGTTTAAACATGGCCAGCTAATAATATCTTGAAGCCAAAAAAAAAAAAAAAAAACATCGTCTTCCACGCCCGTCCTCCTTTTCTCCCTGCCCCTGACACGCAAAAAAAAAGTCTTGTCGTGTAAACCTTAAGAGGTGCATGAAAATTGCTCTAGTTTTCTCACCAAATAATGACTGAAAGAACTCTAGTCCCAATATTTGTCTTCTGGGCTTTCCTTACAATAATCACACCAACACTTATTCTCTTGTCAGAGAATTCAAAGGCCGACCCCGATTTAAACGGTAAAGATCTTTAAAGGAACTGCTAATTCTCCTTATTCCTCAGAAATGATATAAATAAGTTTTTGCTTCTTTGGCAACTTGTTACTTTTTATCTTCTAGACATGTAACTTTCTTATCTTCAATCTTCTTACCCAACTTTAATTTGTAGGGAACATAACCGAGGGAATGAAGGTCAGAAGAATGATAAGGACACCACCAGCGCCAACCAAGTCTGTGGTTGCTGAAGAGGAACTTGCCTCAGCACCAGCACCAGTACCAGTACCATTACCATTACCAACTCCTACAGGGTCATCACACACACATCATAATCTTACTCATATAAGCAATAGGACCGATGATGGGATTACGCTCTCCTTTCCTGAAATACTCCTCCAAGTAAAAAAAACAAATGTCAGATAGAAAAGTACTTGATGACAATGTTCGCTGGCGTTGGATCTCAGAATGTTATGTCCTTATAGAAGAACAATGTAAGTTGTTGAGAACAGAATTAATTCATTAAATTGTTAATATGTCTTGTATGTTTATACCATGGGTCTGAGTTTATATAAATTGGTTGGTGTGGGTTGTTTAGCAAAATATATTTCTTCCATTGTTTGGGTAAAATCAAGAGATCGAGAAAGAATCAAACAACAAATGCTGCAACATAACTATTGATGGTTATGAGGTCTTTCTTTTTCTTTATGAAAACAAAGAATTGCAGAAAGTGTCTCTTCAACAAATTCTGCAACTACTGTTCTTGCACTGATTAATGTTGTATAATCATTGAAAAAATTTATTATCCATTTTCTGACTCAAATGTTTTGTACTTATTCACAATTAAGCACAACATGAAATGGTTCGCTCGCAGGTTTGACTCTTCCTCCCCGGCAAAAAATAAAATAAAAATTACATATTTGTTAAATTGCCAGTGTAATAATAGTTAAGCTTACGTGTCCATTGATGACACATTCGCTTTCTGATTAAGCATCCATGTTATGATTCTTGATAATTTGAAAGAGACAATAATATCAGTTATGTTATTAACACAACAGTCATTATAACATTTGCCTTAAAAGGTCTAAAAACCTGTCTGCTAGGCGTGGAGTTATTTATGATAGTTTCCGCATTTTGAGGTTCTTCTCTGAGTAATTGGGCTGTGTCTAACGCAAATGCCAATTCACGCTCTGGATGATTTGTAAAGGGTTTCAGTTCCACTCAGTTGAATGACTCAGTGAGGCAGATGCTCTTAAAAACAAAAAATAAAAAATTCCAGTGAGACTTTAATGATCAATCAACCGTTTGCAAACAAAATAATTGTGTGGAAATATCATAGGATCACACAATCTGGTTTTTTTGACCCTTTTACCCTTCATTAATTAATTAATAACTATTTTGCCTCTCATTCAAAACTATCTACCAATTTGCCCCTCTTTAATCGATTAACTTGAATATTTAATCGATTAAATGGTCAAAACTGACAAAAATGGTTGACTTGAAGATTTAATCGATTAAATTTTCAACTTAATCGATTAAATTTCCAAAATATATCTCCAAAAATGGTTCCCTTCATTCGACGCCACCGCCACTTAAATCAAAAGGGTTCGATCCCACCATCGTTGTTGCCAACTCTTACCTCATATCGCGATTTTGTTTGTTGCCATAGATTGTCTTACCCACATGGTTATTCGGATTTTCCCAACGCCAGAGCCTCTCACTCTCTCAACTTTGTCTCTGGCTGTCTCGTCTTGTTTGGTGGTGGCTGAAGGAGGTTAGTTTCTCTTTCCATCTTCTTTTCTTTGTTTCAAATGGCTTTTGGTTTCCAACATGCGGTTATTATCAATATTAAATATCATCTTATGTGTTTTTGTTTGTCCCTTAATTTTGATGGAATGGTGGATGATTTTCTTCAGTCTGCGGAACCTTTTGGACTCAGGTTTAATGGGGAGCTCTTTCTTGTGGAGCTTGTGCTTTAGCTCTAAAGGACTAAGGAGGCAATAGATCTCATGTGCTCTTTCTTGAGACCATTTTGTGCTGTATCTTATAATTAGTTTCCATTTCTGGAGATTTAATCAATTAAGTTTGAAGATTTAATCGATTAAATTTTCAAGTCAATCATTTTTGTCAATTTTGACCATTTAATCGATTAAATCTTCAAATTAATCGATTAAAGAGGAACAGATTGGTAGGTAGTTTTGAATGAGAGGCAAAATGGTTATTAATTAATTAATAAAGGATAAAATGGTCAAAAACTCCAGACAATCTGCTCAACTTTGCCTTTTTTCTTTTGTACACTTCAAAGTAGAAAGTTATGAATCAGCTCACCATAAAACTTTGTGCCTGTTTATATCTTTCAAAGTTAACTACCATCCTTTCATAAAAAAACAAAAATATAAAAAGGCAACCCGAGGACTGGTCCTACTTCTATATTTCCATGTCTGTCTTTCATTTATTTTTTGGTACATATTTATATCTTTCATTTCAAGTTTCATTTCCACACTTCCTATTGAAATGTTATTTATTATTTTATTATTTTTCGAATGTGTCACTTATTCACTCAATGACATCGTTTACAAATTTAATTATATTTATCAATATTTTGTTTTATTATAACATTTTTTTGGAGCAAATAGACTATTTTATTTTAGGAAAATTTGTTTCTCCTACAAACGGAGATAAAATTCTCTCTAACAACTCTAAAATGACGACTTTGTGAGATTTAAAAAAAGAAGAAGGTATTTTAAACAAATGAAAAATAAATAAAGAAATGAAAACAAGAAAAATAATCAATACCTTCTTTCATATAATGTATAATTATTGTGCAACCTTTCTACCTATTATGAACATTACACGTAACTATTTTGTATTTTATAAAACCAATGATACAACTAACCTCAAAATACAATAAAGTGTAACAAAATCAAGAATTAAGTAGTTATCTCGTGGATATTTTTCGATCAAATGTCATTCGTAACTTTATTCCACGGTATGTATATTACAAAAATTAGAATAATTAACACATTCGTCTGGTGCCAAATCCCTGAATCGAAGAATAATTAACACATTCGTACCTGAATGCATTATTATTGTTTTCTCAAAATATAAGGCTTGATAAAAAGTAAACATGAATATCATTTAATCACAAAAACATTCATAATTAAGTTGGTTTTTAATATAACAAATTTATTATGCTTCATAATGTTTTGGATTCAATTATTGTACCTTAAGAGACTTGCGTATAATTTTCATGATGGTTGTATATACATTTTGGCACAGATAGCTTATGTAATGTGCGTAAACTATAGTTAATGAAAAACGAAAAAATAAAAAACATAAGGAAAAAATGAATAATAATAATATTAATAATAATAACAATAATTATAATTATGAAGTTTTTTGTGTGTGTGTGGGGAAAGAAGGTATTTTCTTTGGGCAGCCAACGAAGAGGGGGGAAAAAGCCCATGATGGAAAGAAAACGTGAGGAATCTGGTTTATGTGCATGTCGGATGGGCTTGTTTTGGTGTGGAAATAACGACAGAGGAGAAAAATAGACCAAGAGCAAAACGCCAATGAGATTGGGTTACGTAGAAAGGTTAAGTAGGAACGAGGTGTCCGTTGTAGCAAGGAAACTTAGGTTTACGTTACATTCATATAAACATAAAATGTGCTCCCTATAAACACAAAATGTGCTTCTGTATACGATGGTAATTGTGCTTCCATATATGATTCTTAATTGGCAATGTTATTAAACCCAATCTGATCAGGGTATTTGGTCATTGGTGAGATTGAGAAATTAATTTCCAAGTCCTTTTCTCTCTCTTTTTTCTTCCTCTCTCCTCTCTCCTCCCTTTTCTTTTTGTACAGCCCACATGAGCCGGGACTGCTACATATTTGGTTTGGTTCATGTATATATATTATTAGAAATTGGTTTGGAAGGGCTTTGTTGTTTGTAACATCTCAGGCGCTGACGAGGGCGGGGAGTGATCGCTGGTGCGCAAGGGCACGGACAAGGAGCGGCTCCTGGCAGGCTTCTAGGGACGGGGGTACATGAATGAATCGAATCAACACCCGAAAGAGAGGGATTCCAGAGACTGTGCTGGTATGGGACGGTACAGTTGGGAATGGCTTATAAGAATTAATTGGTACTACTTATACTAACAAGATGCATCTACTTTTTGGTAGCCCGGATTGGAAGAACTCCACAGTTAAGCGTGCTTGACTTGGAGCAATTCAGGGATGGGTGACTTCCTGGGAAGTTTTCCCGGGAAGTGTGCGAGTGAGGACAAAGCACGCTGAAAAGTCTCGTGTTAGTGTGTGGGGACAGTCGTTGATCCTTGCAAGTTGTCAGGTGTTACATTGTTAGACTGGTTTGGGCCCAATGGGCTATACAAATTTTGGATTGAAGTCAAGCTTGGCACAAGAGAGTTAGTTATATGGATAAAACAGAAACCAATTGGAAAAAAACAACTTCATAATCAAGAGATATTGGTCTAGTGCTTCCGAGTTTGACCTGTACAGAGGGTAGTGGGTTTCATTCTAGAGAGTCGCAATTCCTAGGATGGTGGGGAGGCTCAAACCTAAAATGAAATTAGTAAGGTTCTTAGGACTTCGAACACCGATTGGTATGTAAAAAAACAACTTCATGAAGCCTAAGCTAGTGATAAAAATGATTTGAAATCAGATCATGGCTAGACATTAAAGGATGTTGTTGATGCAAAACATGCATCCAAGAAAGTCAAAGAGGTGCAGACTCCATCTGCAGAATCAAAGAGGCAGTACGGTTGTTTGAGATGGATTAGGAACACTTTCTGATACTGAAAATATCAAAGAAGGTTTCCCAAAAAAAAAAGATCAAAGAAAAAGTGGTATGTAATATATACTAATAGACTTGATGATATTTTTCTCTGTTTTGAACTTTAGGTATCACTATAAAACAAGCACAAAAACTTGGATTAATGGTATCAATGATTTAGTGGTCAATCTTTTCTCAAATCTACACCATGGTTTAGTAATTATTGAGTTGTTAAGAAGGATTTTACTGATAGTAATGTCAAGAACCTCACTCTATGGAAAATATATATGTCTACAATTTGATCGGGAACATGTGTTTTCAAGGTTGGAATATCTGAAGTATTGCAATTACAAACAAGTTGAAAAACTTGTATTTGGAGCTAGACAAATTGTTTCTTTTTTGGAAAATAAAGGTGGACAAATTTTCTTTTCCAAACAATTCATGTAGGGGGAAAGTTCAAATAAAACAGAAGATGTTGATAACCTTCTAAGAACAGAAGCCAAAATATATACTCTTGATCAAATCCTTTCAAATAGCTTTATTTAATTTTGACTCTTATTTCTTCATTATTTCATCAATTACCCAACTAATCTGGTTTGACTGAGATTGAGGGTGGAAACAGACACCTGAT